CATCTTTGTATGACCAGGAACCATATGTTATTGAAGTGCAAGCACTGCTTTCTCATTGTCAAAACTACCTGATCAATCTTCTTGTCACCATTGTATTGTACCAATAGAAGCAAGAATGAGGAGCCTGGTAGATATCCTGAACAGGGGGCATCTCAAGTATTTCAACTGGCAAGTGAGTATCCTAATTGGGATCAGCTCCTTTTTCTTTTTCCCATTTTTATTGTTTAGAGATGAAAAAATAGCTCACCTGCATTTATTTTGAAGAAAATAGATGAACAAAACTAGATGGACAAAGAAATCAATTAAAAGAAACAACAAATCATACTCAGCATACCTTAAAATGAAAGATTTTTATTGTTACTCTTGCTCTTCTTCCTTTCCATCAAAGATTTGGCATAAAAACTTGAAGATATCTAAAGAACAAATGAATTGAGGAAATAAAGGAAACAAAAATGAAAGACAACTATATATAACCAGATTCCTAGAAATTATATGCATTTGAAATAAGAAAAGAAAATTTTAGGCCTAGGCATATTTGCAATTGATTGAAAATAGAGGAACGAACTTAAAATTTTAGGGTTTGACAAACATTTTGCAGAGAAATGAAAATAAAAGAACATTTTGCAGATGATGAAAATCACCTGTTGTTGCTTGCTTCCCCAAATTGTTGTAGAAAAACACAAACAACTGCATAAATTCACGTTCTTTGCTTTCCCTTCTATCTCCTAAAACTCTAAATCCTATAAACCAACTAAATATACCAAAGAATCAAATGAAGTAAATAATTAAGCAAGTAACAAAGAAAGCAGCACAAAGTCTCCAAAAATAATGAAGAAGATCAAATGAATTGAATCGGCCACGGAGAAGGATCAGGAAACCTAAGAACTAAGAAGCTAAAATCCCTAAAATGGATAACAAAAAATGCGAGAAACTTACTGGGAAGGATCGATTGAAAGCAGAAGCACAAGGATCGATTCAAGCTTTAGCTTCAAAATTCGATCGAGAAACCAAAATCGAACTAACCGAAGAAATTTTGAGTGAACGGAGGATCTGATTTGAAGAAGGAGAAATAAAATTCGAGGGACGAAGGGAGATTTTGCAGAGGGATGGATTAAACGCTGTCGTTAAATGGAAAACAAAGGGCCAACATTTTTAAGAAAAACGCTGTCGTTAATGGATTAAACGCAGGTTTATATAAAACGCCAAAGTTTGCAGGAAACTTGTCCGACCAATACCGGCCTTCTATAAAAATGCTGGTAATAAATCGCTGTTCTTAGAGTTTTCCCTTGTCTATAGATTATTTGTAGCAGCGTAGTCTAATCTAAGGAAACCAGAATCAGTAAGAAGATGCATAAATAGTCTTCATTTATTAAAAGAAACCAATAGTCTTAAATTCATATTAATATAATACAACAATGATCCCCATTCAGGATGCTGCTCTTTCAACATTGAACA